GTGTGTGTGTGTGTGTGTGTGTGTGTGTGCGTGGGGTGTCAAGACTTGCTTCCAGGACTTTGGACAGAACAAAGCAAATCTGTCTGCTAATAAAACTAATACTAATAATATTACACATGATAATAGTAATAACAATAAAAATACAGCCGACATGTGGCGTTACTAATGTTTACAAATGGACAAACTGTAATGACAGCACTGACTCTGGTAAGTCCAATGTACCTGCAAGCTGGAATAAAATATCAATATGTGTCATTACTGTGTCGATTATACATCACAAGAGGAAGAAGTGTGATGAAGTTGCCATGTTAATAATTTCCTTTGGCTTCGTTCACATGGATTTTAAGGAGAGACACGTCAGACCGTCTCCAGGTCTATTAATGACTATCTGCAGACAGTAAAATCAGTTTACAATGACGTTGTAGTTTGGCAAAGAAGTCCTTGCATGCATGGCTGGTTAGCATTTGAACTTTCTAATAGCCGGCCTCTCTGTGGTTGCTATGTTTGGTTTCTGCACAAGAACAACTGTTTGATTCATTTAAAAAGATCCACAGGTTTTGGGGAGGTTTTAGGTTAAATAGGACACCGTGACACAATCAGTGACGACGCTGCCAAACAAACTTATGTCACGGTTTCCAGCTGCTGCTTCCAAATATTTGTTCTTCTCCAGCAGAACCACATTAACACTGAGAGTCCCCACCATCCCCTCGGTGTGCAACAGGCAGGAGCAGAGGTTAATCACAACATCATTAATATGCTCTTATATCAACTCTGAACATCAGTTAGCAGCGATAAACCCTCACACGTTTTATAAACAGGAAGAGCTCGTCAAGCACGGAGACCAGCCAAGCGCCAGACCAAGAAAAGGGCCTTTCAAGCGGCCCCGAGATGCATTATTGAGTTAAAAGGATAGATGAAAAAACAGATCCAATTGTAAGCAGCTATCAGCGGGAGAGATCGGCCATGCGGCCTATCTCACGCCCCATCTGTAGGAAGGAGAAGTGAAAAGCCAGGAGGGGGGGATGCAGCGGCGGCCTTGGCGCTGCCTCAGACAGAAAACAAATAAAAAAGATCCAATTTTAATCTTTATCTGCGCTCACATCGGATCGCTGCTTTATCTCAGCTCACATCGGCTTTTTGCCGAGAACACTGACGTTTCCACAACAGAATTAAACAGGAAGCCCCGGCCACACTTTCAGCTGCCAATGCACAAAAACATTCCGCACAGGGTAATAAAGAAAAACTTTTTGATATTCCTGCACAGCCTTACAGCGCGGAGCCAGCTGCCGAGGAGCCCCTTTAATAAAGGCTGAGGAGGACAGGAGGGGCTGGAGGGGAGGCGACATCCTCCGGTTATCCCGAGACAACGAGCTGCATCTGAAACTTAAAGTCTTCAGAGTCAGCTGTGCTTTCTAATTTACGCACCGATGAGGGGGGTCCGGGCAGGGACGCGCGTGCGGCGCATCGACACACGAACACTCAGAAGAAGAAGAAGAAGAAGAGGGGAAACTTGTGTCATGCTTACGCTTTATCTGCCGGGGTTTGCTCTGCTTCCTCCGGGACATGCTGCCTCTGCTCTCGGGCTGAGCGGCAGAGAAGTGGTCAGGCTCTTCCTCTGGTTTCTGCCTCCTCTTCTTCTTCTTCTTCTTCGTTCACAGCTGCGACGCGGCGCTCCGAGCAGCGACCGGAGAAATCCTCATGACCCGCGTGCGCTTTCACAGCTATCTTGTGCCACGACAGCTCCCGCGAGGCTACCTGTAGCTGAGTCCCCACCTGTGACCAAGGCTCTTCTTCTCAACTACAAATATCTGCCTCCGCCTCACCTCTCGCTTTCCTGCAAACGTTACTCCGTTACCGGGCGCGCCTCCGCTGTGTCCGCTGGCACGTCACTCAGCGACACGCAGTAAATGTGTGTCCCGTGGAAGCTCGCGCTGATAAAAGTGTCAGCTGTGGAGGTCAGCGGCGCGGCTGCTGTTTTCTCTGTCAAGTTTTCCTCCGGCTGGTCCGCCCCCTTGTCTGCCCGCACCGCGTCTAAGCCAGGGAGCCACTTTCAATGGAGCTCGAGCGCTACAGTCAACTCTGCTACTACACCGGAGCGGACGCGCCTCTGACACGCCCCTTGCGTCTGACGTAGAGCGCCGCACTCGTCCCCGATTGGCTCCCGTCTACCCCGTTGTAAAGCGCAATAAAACAGAAAGTATGCCTTATAATTCCACCGCGTGATCGACTTCACAATACAAATATCAGCAGTGTATATAAATCCTCAACTCTAATTAATTAATGATATAATATTGCTTTATACTGTAATTATAGATGGATAATTAAAACGATACTAACCGTGATCACTGTGTCCTTTAAAAAGTCTGTAAACTTTAGTTTCTTAACTTTTTTCTTGCAGTTTTGTGGTTCTTTTCACTTCTTTCAGCAGCACAGTGGAGTGTAATGCTGATGTACACGCATGACAAGTATGTCCCGTGCTCTCCATCCATCCTACGGCTTTAAATAAGGGCTATGCTGTTTTTGTTTACTTGTTCATTTAGTAGGTGTAGTTTTTGCATCAACATCTGTAATCTATCATGGGAGCAAAACAGTGGTGACTGTCAGATCTTGGTGTCTAATGTTAGTAATGTTAGTAGACTGCATAAACTTTCAAACATAGTGTGATGCAGAGAGTTAATTTTCGTAAATAGGGGACAAATAGCAGCAAAACAAACAAACATCTGCTGTTTTCCATATGAAAAATTATGGAAAAATGTAAAAGCTTTAAGCAAACGTAGAAATTAATACTAATTAATTTATTAATATTATTAAAAATTAATACTTTTTCCAATAAAACGGAATAAATGATAAATGAAATTGCCCAAATAAGTAGAAACAGATTAAAGTAATACATTTTTTTCTATTTTATGAGCTTTGATTTTTATTTAAGTGATTTTGTAGACTGCTCATTGATTGACCACAAATGAAGGAAGTCCAATTATAGAAAACGTATATAAAATGTTGACTTTACTCAAAAGCTAAATGTGCCACTGCCCTGCAGCAGACCCCACCTCTCACCTTACGACCGCTGGGATACTCTTAAGCACTCCACCCGTTTTCTTAACCAATGTGTTTATAAGCGGTGGGTAAATTATTCAAATTTGTTTTCTTTTGTGTTACCTGCGTGTGTATAGTCCTCTGTGTGGCATTGCTTTCATTGTCGTGCACTTTGTTTCTTGTTCAAATGTGATACAGACATGAGATTAGCCAGGATTTCCTTTTGGACTGACGACAGGCTGCTTCGGTTTCCTGCATGAATGACTCACGTTGAAATGTTTACCTTATAAGAATACCTACAAAGTGTAACAGCAGTGTTAGGCTGTGACATAATGAGGCTTTCATGACACATGAAAAATGAATATTAATAACATTAACACTATAAGAGCAGACGGAAAAATGAAGAGAAATGCAGAGTGTTTGCACTCTTCTTTCCTTTTAATATTCTGTCTTTTTAGATATTTAGCTTATTTTAATAACTTAAAATAAAAGAGTCTAAAGATTGTTTTAGGTCGGTATAGCTTCATCACTTTTTGAAAAATAATAACCCTAAGAGTGCATAACTGAAAGCCTCCTTTGACTTTGGATAGGAGCATTCAGTGGCTCAGTTATAGAGTGTTATTCTATCCGGGGATTTCAGCCAGCAACCTCTAGGTTACACACGTGCTTCTCCAAAAATGCATGCTGCCCTCAACAAGAAGATGGAAGAGGATCGAGATTAGTTTCTTCCCAGCGAAATTCACTGGCGCCATCTAGTGGGCACTTTTCGAATAACCACTGATTCCTCGCAGGAGAGCAGCTCGCCCCTCTCCTTTCCTTTATCAGTCCTCGATTCCTTTACTTGGCTCTTCTGTTAGCGTCCAAGTCTCCATGTCTCCTCTGCCCTGCATGCCTCAATGTTGTCTGTGAAGGTCCTCAACTGAGAACCTTCACAGACAACACTCCACTTTCTTGTCTAGATATGAAAATTATGTTGCCAAAATCAAAACATGGCATGAGGTAAATTCAGAAATATGTCAGGTGCATTACATTGGCTACATCTATCTTCATATCTAAAATGAAAAACTACGGATTAAAACTTTAATTCATCTAAGAACTATCAGCAATGACCTCACACCTCTGACTCTCAAAAGCCACAGACACACTATTCTTTGATTTTTTTACTATTTCAAAACTCATTTGTGGAACCAACCAAAAGTCACTTTCTTGGATACACTTAGTTTTTGTTGCATCTGCTAAGTTTTGTTATTGGTTTTAGAGAATGACATCATATCACCACAGTGCTGGTTTCCTGTGTGTTCATAAAGTGGGCTACATTTAACATCTTGCTGTTGGAGGGCCAGGTTTAGTGCTCAGGCCATTATTTGCGTCACTGTTGTGGTTTTTGGTTAGACTCAAAATGGCCTGTATTTGTATAGCGCTTTTCTAGTCCCTAAGGACCCCAAAGCGCTTTACACAACCTGTCATCCACCCAGTCACACACACATTCACACACTGGTGATGGCAGCTACATTGTAGCCACAGCCACCCTGGGGCGCACTGACAGAGGCGAGGCTGCCGGACACTGGCGCCACCGGGCCCTCTGACCACCACCAGTAGGCAACGGGTGAAGTGTCTTGCCCAAGGACACAATGACCGAGACTGTCCAAGCCGGGGCTCGAACCGGCAGACTCAAGATTCAGACACTTGAATCTTGAGGTTTCTTTTTATACTACTACTATACGCTACTTTATGTCTTGCTGCCACAGCTGCCACAGTCCTTCTGGTACTGTGGGAAACATGCTAAAGAGGCTTACATATATTCAGGCCATCTTTTCACAGAGTTTCTCAGGTTTCTTTAATTTGATGGTGTTGAATTGGTTAACAGCAGCTTTATATCAGTGAATTGTTTCACAGTTTAAACTATGAGTTTGTCAAATGGTAAATGGCCTGCATTTGTATAGCGCTTTTCTAGTCCATAGGACCCCAAAGCGCTTTACACTACATTCAGTCATTCACCCATTCACACACACATTCACACACTGGTGATGGCAGCTACATTGTAGCCACAGCTGCCCTGGGGCGCACTGACAGAGGCGAGGCTGCCGGACACTGGCGCCACCGGGCCCTCTGACCAACACCAGTAGGCAAACAAAAAATTGCTGTCCAGCACTGATACTTTGGAGATTTGTGTGGATTATGGGTAATTTCAGCCATTAATCCAAATTCCAGACTGTTTATTTGGACCAAGACGTTAACTCTTTATTTCAACCGAGGTCAGCTGGCAGCATTTACACATTTTGGGTGTTTATTTTTTCTGTCGTCCATTTTTTTCCCTATTTATAAACTGCAGTAGTTTGATTTTGCAATCAGTTTTAAAGCAGCAACACAGCAAAGTGGTGGCTAGTTTTTGGCTCTTATCACTTTTTAGGTTATGGTCCCCCTTAGATAAAGTCTAATTTATTTATGCGCCCCACATTAGAGATTGGTCTCTTAGCTTCTATTCAGTCTTTTATTCTGTTTCCCCAGTGACCTTCAAAATGTAGCCTGTTAGCACACCTGACAATAACATGTGGATGTTGTGGTGTGAGAACAAATGGAAGTCTCTCAGTACAGTATGTGAGTTCACACAAGGCATTCGATGCATTTCTGTTTTTGTCTCCAGTGAGAACGTCTGTCCAGCTGTTTTGCAGGAGTCAGGTTTTGCACTCACGCAAAGGTTTTGTTGTTACTTTCACACGTGGCTAAAAATAACCGCTAGCAGCCAGCTTGTTGCAGTTGTCTGATAAATGTGTTTATTGTTTGTTATTTCACTAGTGTAAAGTAGCCTATGTCAGCTAAGTAGGTGGCACTTCACTGTGGCCAGTGATGCATTTGCACACAGGCAGATAAAGGGCTGTAACCACACGGCCATGTGAAAAAAAGGTTTTCTCAGGAGTCCTTTGAAAAACAAAGTTCAGCCTTACTGCTTCTATAGGAATGAAGAATGGGTCAGTTCTACCATAACCCTAAACCTGTGTGTGATACAGTTTGTTGCCTCGATTTGATCACAAGCAGGGTTTAGGGTAGTGTTAATGCGTGGCTCAGTGTCTGCAACCAGCTGCAGTGTCATAGTCATTGTCTTACTCAGAGTGTAAGCTCAGTTTCTGTGAGCTCGGCATCTTCTGAGGAGGCTGACTTAAACTGACCTAGAGTGCTGCTGCAGCAGATGCACACATACCTGGAAGCATTAATTACAGACAGCAGGGGTTATGCATTTCCAGGACTTGTGTCATACTTACTGCCATCAACTGTGCAATATTTCCTTGTCTTGTCATTATTTTGCAGCTTGTTGCAGGAAAGCAGGTTGAGGTTGAATTTCTGTAAGCCCTTCATGCTCCCAGAACAAGTTATCAGAACTTGGCATGTTTGCTTGGCCTCTTGAAACTCTGTTTTTCTGCTGATTGTAAAAAGTTAAACACACTGTTGCCTAACTTGACCTTTGGGGTGGAAGACTGCACTGACACGCTGCTCACTGTTTAGTCAGACAAACCTTGTAACTTCTGAATTCTGTTTGTAACATCTGCCAGTCTCTTGTTATCTTTATTTTTGTCATGCTCACATACTCCATTTGTTTTATTGCTCAAAGCATGTTCAGCTTTTTTGCACCATACTGTAAACATCTGAGGTGTTTAGGCAGCAGGTCCGGTAATTTGGAAGCAGGAACAGAGGATAAAACTGGCTTATTCTCATTCCCAGGGAGTGAAACAAAGTTAAAGTACCAGGTGTCCTTGGGTGGAGCTGTGCAACCAAACGGGCTATGTCATCGGCGAGATAGGTATCCATGCTGGATTTTATTGTTCTAAAGGAAGGAGTTTCACCCTAACCAAAAATAGTGACGTGAAAACAAACATAAAAACACATAAAAACTAAACAGACCAGTGAGTTAACTGGAGACACAAACCAGGAACTCCACCTGTCCCGCCTCCTATTGAAGACTGTGTGTGTGAAGTTATTTTATACAAAAGAGAACACACTGAATAAGATTTTTAATCTGAATCTATGAGCAATCTGCTTCCTATTATGGTCACATATACAATCAGCCACATTACAAAATGGTTTCAGGTGTTTCAGGGAAGAATTTGTCCTTATAGGTGATCAAGAGGATGCAGATGGGGGAGGATTATCAGAAAAAAAAAATCAGAGTGATGAGTGAACTAAGTCTACAACCTGTGTTCCCATGAGGGATGGAAAGTCTTAGGTTCAAGCTGTGCAACCACAGTGTACACGTTTGAAATGTGGTAGAGTGGTTGACAAACTGCTTGGCTGAAGAATGTGCAGTAATCGTATTATCATATTATCTCTTGGACAAAAAATTTCTAATGTTTTATCAAAAATCAGGGCTTTATAAGACCAGTGGTTGGCTAGGTAGCGTCCCAGGACACATATATGGTTTAGGGACTTTAGATCCACATCCATGCAATCCTGTCAGTGTGGCATTTATTTGTCTCTTTGTTTTTCTTTCTTAACATGAGAGAAAAAAAATCTTAAATCCTGAGCTGTTAAACATGGGGACTCAACAAGAGCCGAATGCCATGTGGCATGTAGAGGAGTTTGGGATCTTTTGAAAGTTGTCAAATGAACTGAGCACAGTAATATCCACCAACACCGCTGGGATGTCAACATGCCAATTCTAAATGTACTATATAAACTTCAACAGATCGGAGATTTACCAAAGTATTCAGTTGAAGCATGGGGAGCCTCACAGCACGAAGGTTCTGCGTTGGAACTCAGTGGCCAGTTGGGGACCTTTCGGTGTGGAGTTTCTGTGTCTGCACGTGCTCTGACTCCTCCCACAGTTCAAAGACATGAATGTTAGAGGTACTGGTGATTCTACATTGGCTCTAGGTCTCTTAGGCTACGTTCACTTCGCATCAAATCATCGGATTTGATGCGCTTTCGCCTGCAGTGTGAACGTAGCTACGATTTTTTTGACCCTATGCGACCCATATCCGATCATGGTGTGACAGTGTGAACGGCACAAATCCGATATTTTCAAATCCGATCTGGGTCACTTTC